AATAAGTATAATAATAATAATTTAAATAAATCTCTATTTAAAAAGTAAAAGAAAAAATAATATACTAAGAAATAAAAGAAATAATATAAAATATTAGATTTAATTAAAAGCTTTTATAGTTTTTTACTAAAAGAGCTTCTAAATAACTATTTTTTTATCTAGATTAATAATATATTTTTAGAATATAGTAAGATCTAGGAAAATATTATATATACTATTACTATATAGAATAAGCTTATTATAAACTAGATTATTATATATAATAATAATCCTCTAAATTATAATTATATTTATCTTAAGAATAAGAAAAAATATCTTAAGTATTTATATTATAATAAGATATAAAAGAATAAGTTTATAAAGCTAAAGTAAAGTAAAACTCTAAAGATTATTAAGTTATTAGATAATACTTTTAGTAACTATTTATTATTAATTAAGTAAAAATATAAGAATAATTAATTAGATAGTATATTAGAAAATATTAGATTTTATCTATATAATCTATTCAGATAAAATATAATATTTAACTATTATTAATATTAATAGTTTATAATCTTCTAATAGCTATTATATTAACTAGTTCTTTATTAAAATATATTTACTTAATAGAATATATATACTTATTTAATTTCTAGAGAGATAGATATAAGATTCTAGATTATAAATTTATATATTATAATTAGTAAGTATAAAGCTAATATTATAATAATAAAAATATATATCTAAATCTTAGAGTTAATAATAAAAAATATCTATTATAATTAATTAATATATTAGAAATATAAGTTTCTACTAGAGTATATATATCTAAGTCTTAGAGTTAGTATAGAAAGTATAATTAATTAATATATTAGAAATATAAGTTACTATTAGAATAAAATTAGATATTAATATTTAGAGATAATATAAGCTAGTTAGATTTATATAAGGTATTATAATTATATAGTTATTAATTTACTAAGTATAGTTATAGGGATATAATTTATTATTTAGCTAAATATAGTTATAAGAATATAATATTTTTCTAAATAGAGTAATTACTATAGGAAAAGCAGCTAATAATAAACTAATAAGTAATAAGTAGGAAATTAATAATCTAGCTAGCTATAGATAGACTATTAAGAATTAATTAAGATTATATATATATATAAACCAGACTATTACTTATATTACTAGTTATTAGATACTAATAATATATTTATTAAGAATAAGAATTAATTAGATTAAAAGCTATAATTATATCTTATTAATAATTATTCTATTATATATATATATTTTAATCTAATATATTATCTTTAGTTTTAGTATATTATATACTATATTAAGATAATCTATAGAAAAATAGTTTTTACTACTTAATTAATTTTTTATTTATTTTATTCTATTAATTTTAATTAGAGTTTAAATTTAAAATTAATTAAGCTTAATATTAAATAAAATTTTATTATTAAATAAAAAAAGTAGTTATCTAGAAGTTAATATTAATTTATCTCTATAAGTATAGTATATATTTATTATAGTAAAGTTCCTAAGATCTATATAGAGATATATTTTAATCTTATATTTATTTATCTATATATAGTTCTTTTTAATAATACTAGGTTAATATATTTATAATAATCTAATTAATTTCTTTATTATAATACTATATTCTTATTTTAAAGTTTATAATAATAAACTATAGCTTTTATTTATTAATAATATTAATAATAATATTATTTAGTATAATTATAAAAACTAAATCTTATCTAGATATATATTTATAATATATTAATTATTTTTATATATAGAATAATTAGATTATTTATAATTAGAATATATATAATTATAAATATTATATTTATAATAGTTTAAAAATTAAAAGTTTTTTAAGTTTTCTAGATTTTTTTATTATTAGATTATAATAAGTTTATTATTAATCTAGATATTTATTACTAGATTTAATTAATTTAAATAATTATTTTTTATTTTACTAATTAGTAAAAAAGAGTTATAATTAATACTAAAAGTAGTTTTAATAATTATTTTTTTATTATAAAGATTTTTTTACTTTATAGAAAGATTATTATTAATAAGTTATTACTTTAGAGATTTTATTAATTTAAAAACTATTTAGATAATCTAATTTAGATTTAAACTCTAATTAATAAGTTTAATTTTAATAATATTCTATTTAATATAAAATTTCTTAAAAAAATTAATCTAATTTATAAATTAAACTAATTAGTTTTAATTTAACTATTAGAATATAAATAACTAGATTTTTAATTATTTCTTTAAGGAATTTATAGAACTCTTATAATATATAATTAGAAATATAATCTTAATTTATAAAACTCTTCTATATAAGTTTATATTATAATTTATCTTTAAAATAATAACTAGTTAATAGTATTTTTAAATATTCTATAGAAAACTATAATAAGTTCTTTTTAATCTAGATATTAATATCTAATTTATATTTCTAGAAGTTTATTTAATTCTTATTTTTATAAAAATAAAAATTTTATTTCTAATTCCTAGTAAAAATCTATATAAAAATTATAATTAGATTATTAAAAAGTTATTATTATATTATTAGAAATAAGATTTTAAAGAGTATTAATTTATAAATTATCTTTTTAGAAATTAGTTTATAAACTTAGAATTAAAATATATAAATTTTTATTTTTTTAAATTTCTTTTTTATTTTCTATAGTTTTTTTTTTTTTTTTTTTTTTTTTTTTTTTTTTTTTTTTTTTTTTTTTTTTTTTTTTTTTTTTTTTTTTTTTTTTTTTTTTTTTTTTTTTTTTTTTTTTTTTTTTTTTTTTTTAATAAATATTAATTTTCTTTTTATTTATTTATTATAAACTTATACTTTAACTATTATATATTTATACTCTTTATCTTTATTATAATTAAGAATATATATATCTAGAGTTTAAAATAATATTTAAATAAATTAATAATTTAAAATAATAAATCTATTTAGAGTTTAAAATATAATAAATATATTCTTTTAAAAAAGCTTTATTATAAGATTATTTATCTCTTTTTATAGTTTTTTATTATTTTATTTTTATAATTCTTATTAGATAGTAATTATTTTATTTATTAATAATTCTTATACTTTAAAAAATAAAAGAATTAATTTATTAAATAAATAATAATATATATTAAAAGAAATAAAAATAAATAAATATTAATTAGTAGAAGATTTATAATTAAATAGCTATATAATAATAAATATCTTTCTAATAGATAAATTAGCTCTTAATTCTTTTAAAATCCCTTAAGATTATAATATTATTTTATTATAGTAATCTTATATACTGGACCTACTTACCGTATGCCCTTATTGGCTAATTCCTTTTGCCCCTAACATATAGAGAGAGCTGAAATATACCTATCACTTACACTGAGGCACACCTAGCCTCAAGAGCAATAAAGACTTGCTTGATAGCGAAAACCGTGGGAGTAACGTCGGACATCTTGGTTACTGAACAATCAGTTTTGGTATCTGCTGCGAGGTAATAGAATATAACGAGATAAGAGCGTGGTGTATGGCGAAAGGGAGCTTCAGCACATAAATCAAGAGCGGCAAATCGATGAATCAATTTATCAATTGCAGGAAAGAAGATCGACTGGTTGTAGTAGACTGGTAGAGATTGCTTGAGCGACTTGGTTCAGAAAGACGATATCGAGGAGAATCAAGCAAATATTTATACTTGAAAATATACTGGGTTATACAACGTACACAATCTCCGCTTTCGCTTTAATCGGTCCAAAACATTGTATATGCAGTAGATTACATGGGTTGAAATTGATCTTTTCCTGATATGAACATATTCAGGACATGAGTGTGGACTCATTAGTCCATAGCATTTTTTGAAGGCCGAATCAGATTCCGAGCAGGATGATAACCGCCGAACTTATTTTTCGGTCTTGTGCCCAGTGTCGAATATGCTAAGAATATGAGCCAACTGGAAGTGACGGATGCCTGCGAGTAGATTCGTCCAGGGGCTGAGCGCGTATCAGGGTATCACAAAGTGGGTAGGCAATGCTGCTACGACAATAAAACTAGATATGACTTCACATCAGAAGGGAAGATACAGACAAGTGGCCAGCTAGAGAGGTTTCTATGTGTGTTGAGTGCATGTGGTTTCTCGAGCAGGCCCCAAACACCAATGGGTGCCGTGTGGCTCATTGATCCAGAAAATGAGCGCTTCTTTGCACTTAGATTTTTGCCTCGTTACCTGGTCGTATCTAACGGGCGACGAGTTATCCCCAGCAACCGAGAGAGGTCAAGTCGCCTATCTCAACAGCAAACTACCGAGTTCAATGTGCGACCTCTCGTCTCGGCAGCAGACAACTAGATCCGCCCCCCATAAATTGACTGTCGCAGCTGCTGACTTCTTGGTCAAAACTTACAGCGATCGCGCGTCTCAAGAGCGGACAGCTAGGTTAAGGTCACAACTGCCTGTTGAAGCAGTATTAAACATACCGTACTATGGGGGTGTTTTTGAATTTTGAACATCATGCCAAGACCATACAACAACGCTCGATCCCAACATTATGTTTAAAGGCTGGAGGTCAGGAGGAGCTACATTCGGAGGGTAGCTAGGTCAAAAGATCGCCATATTCGCTACGTGAAAGCTACTACCTCATCACGACCTTGCTCACGGTTTTGACAAGTTGAGGCTTCCGAGTATCTAGGCAGGTAGGTAGATAATGTACTTGGATCTTTCAGCTGCGAGAGACCTACCTAAAGTACCTATGCGGCGAGCGGCTAGGCTACAGGCTACGGGGATAGGTAGCGATCACTCGTCAGCGCCGCTTTCCGACTGTCGCGGCAGCTGGCAACCCGGCCAGGCCTACATACCTAGGTACTTACCCCACACGTGACCGCCCCCTAATGACTAATGAGGTAAACAAGATGGAGTCCGATTCCTCGAGCATGCCACTACACTCTCACCTACAACTACGACGGGTCTCAGCAATCGGCTTGATGGTAGTTTATCATGCCTGCTAAGCGGAAGGCCCCCGGTGCGACAGTCAGCTCTGCCAAGGTTGGTAGGGTCTCTGCCAACTCGACCCCAGGGCCAGCCACACCTCGATCTCTCGACAGCCCCGACCGACCGTCAGACGCTGACGACCTCGACGAGGGAATCGCGGAAATTCAGAAACAACGAGAGAAAGAGCTTGAAGAAGAAGAAGCCGATGACTTTGTAGGGTTATGGGCTCTACCGGGCTCTCAACCTGGCAAGGGAACTCAGAGGCCCTCCCACGATTACCGAGACTATTCCAATCTGCAACTAAAGCCTGATCACCAGAATCGCCCTTTGTGGATCGATCCCGACCGAGGACACATCATACTGGAGAGATTTAGCCCCCTCTCCGAACAAGCGACCGATTTTTTAATCACGATCGCAGAGCCGACATCTCGACCTTCATATTTCCACGAGTATATATTGACAGCCCATAGTCTCTATGCTGCTGTATCTGTGGGACTTCGCCCAGGTGATATTATCAACACCCTGACCCGTTTTCTGAAAACCGAGCTCCCCCTAGGCCTACGAGAGTTTATCTTATCTTGTACACGGAGTTTCGGAAAGGTCAAGTTGGTATTAAACAATAACAAATATTTCGTCGAGAGTATGGACCCAGAGATTCTCCGTAAACTTTTGACAGATGCGGTCATCGGCAAATTGCGATTACATGGCTCGAGCGAAATAACAACAACAATGAAGCCTACGGCCCGGGGACTCGTCATTCCTGGAACCAAAGATGCTGCAGGTCTGCAACAAGCAAATTTGCAGTCGGACAAGGAACCCGGCGACGGTGCGGACGATAGAGACAAGACTGTAGACAACATTGCTACGCTTATCGAAGATGACAATGACGATGAAGAAGCTGTTCATTCGTTTGAAATCCCTGATGTCGCTGTTGAGACAGTACAGAAGAGGTGCCTGGACTTGGGCTATCCAATCCTTGAAGAATACGACTTTCGGCATGACAATGTCAACCCAGATTTAGAGATTGACCTGCGACCTAACACTCAGATTCGGCCGTATCAAGAAAAAAGCCTCAGCAAAATGTTTGGGAATGGTCGAGCTAAGAGTGGGATTATTGTATTGCCCTGCGGTGCTGGGAAAACACTCGTCGGCATTACAGCCGCTTGTACCATTAAGAAGGGCGTCATCGTTCTTTGCACCAGCTCTGTGTCAGCTGTCCAGTGGCGAAAAGAGTTCCTTAAATGGTCAAATATCGGTCCTGATGATATCACTCTCTTTACTGCCGAGAACAAGAAAAGATTTCCAGGTAGTACTGGGGTTATTGTTACAACATACTCAATGGTTACGAATAGCCGCGAACGATCTCATGATTCACAGAAAATGATGAACTTTCTACAGACGCGCGAATGGGGCCTAATGCTTCTTGATGAGGTCCACGTCGTGCCAGCTAATATGTTCCGGCGAGTTATTGCATCAATTAAATCTCACTCAAAATTAGGTCTTACAGCCACACTCCTTCGAGAGGATGATAAGATATCTGATCTTAACTTCCTCATCGGGCCAAAGCTATTTGAGGCCAACTGGATAGAACTTTCTCAACAGGGGCATATTGCTCGAGTTCAATGTGCAGAGGTGTGGTGCCCAATGCCAACAGAATTTTACGAATCATACTTGCAAGTATCTTCTCACGTCATTAAGCGAACGTTACGTGCTGTGAATCCTCGCAAGTTCCAGGCATGTCAATATCTTATTAACTACCATGAAGCTCGTGGTGATAAGATCATTATCTTCTCTGATGAGCTTTACTCATTAAAGCTATATGCACTTAAGCTAAGCAAAGCTTTTATCTATGGCGGCACTGGCCAGGAGGAGCGGATAAGGATCCTGGAAAATTTCCAGCATAACCCTCAGATCAACACACTCTTCTTATCTAAAATCGGCGATACATCACTTGACCTTCCTGAGGCGACTTGTCTGATTCAGATATCCTCTCATTTTGGATCTAGACGTCAGGAAGCACAGCGACTTGGGCGTATTCTACGTGCAAAGCGCAGAAATGATGAAGGATTTAATGCTTTCTTTTACTCACTTGTTTCCAAGGATACTCAAGAAATGTACTTTTCATCCAAGCGACAGGCATTTCTCGTGGATCAAGGATATGCTTTCAAGGTCATCACACAACTAGCTGACATTGACCAACTGCCTGACCTAGCATTTTCAACGGCAACAGAGCGGCGTGAGCTGCTCCAGCGTACTCTGATTGATAAGGATAAGTGGGGTGAGGAGGATGTCGGGGCAGACGATCTATTCCATTTGGAGAAGCCCACTGGACGAGGAAAGAAGAAGACTGGAATTCGGCGTACTGCTGGATTGCTCGGCGAACTGAGTGGTGGTCAAGATATGGCATACGTCGAGCAAAACAAGGCGGCAAATAAAACACTGAAGAAGGACAATAAAGGTGGTCAAAGTGCTTTTTTTAAAAAGATTGCAAGAGAAAAGCAACGACGGAGAGACAATGCTTGAAGGCCTGCGATCTGTTAATATACTTAAGAAAATTATGACTCGCTACTTTCCCTAACGCCGTAGCATGGTTGAAATAAATAGATATTTAGCAATAAAATGCTTCCAATTTAGCCAGCTGTTGGGCCATTAGTGGGCGCTGGTAGTAGCGGTGGGACGGCTTGGGACGGCTTGGGACCAGGTCTCGGAGCTAATTAGGAATTACTGCAGCTGTAAGAGGATGAGGTTATCGTCGGTGCTCCTTCCTTTGTGTGCCTTCCTTCCTTTGTATACCTTCCTTCAAAGGCCTTGCTTAAGGTTTCTTTCAATCCTTGATCTAATCTGCCGCAATCTCTGACTATTATATTAAGCAGCTATCCCTCTACACAGCAGCCAGCTGTATTAGTTGATCTTATCCACCGGGACCTATAACAATAAGATCAAGGAAAGGTCTGACTTACCTGCCTAAGGCTGCAGCTGTTGATCGCATTCGTCTAGATTATGGTAAATAGTATCAGCAGCCGCAGCCTTGGGTAGCCTTAAGATGGTTAGTTAGACCTTTCCTTGATCCTATCTGCCGTGATATGGGTGAATATAATCAACAGCTATAGCCTTAAGTAAGTCAGTCAGATCTCTCTTTGATTCTATTATCGTTGATTCTATTATTATAGATTCTGGCGGATAGGATTAACTAATACAGCCTCGGGCTATTTTGAGCAGGTAAGTCAGACCTCTTATTGATCTTATAACCACTTGACAAAAGTCACGAGCAGAACGTGAAAAATCCGAAATATTTATAAATTAGAGAGGTTAATAAAATATATATTTCTCTACTAATAATAACCTAATTTAAGTAATTTAAAGTAGAATTAATTCTCTTATTACTTCTCTTTTAATTAATATAATTTTTAATACTTTATATACTACTTCTCTATATTAATTATAGCCTATATATACTCAGGTATTATATTAATCAGCTTCTTAAGTATTTTAATTTTAAGCTCCTTTTATACTATAATTACTACTTAAATTAAATTTTACTTTACTTTATCTATTTTAAAAAGAGATATTAATTCAGAATATTATTAATTAATCTAGGTTTTTAGAATATTCTATAAGTTCTTAATAGAATTAAGATTAGAGCTATAGACTAGCTAAGTTATTAATCTAATTCTATTCTCTTTAGTAAATTTCTAAAGCTAATTCTAGACTATTTTTATTATATATATTAATATATTATTATCTTAGAATATAGAACCTAGTAAGAGAAAGTTAGAAGGTTTTCTTAATAATATCTAAATATTTATTATATAGTAATACTACTATACTTAGATTTAGAGTTACTAAGTAGTAGTATAAGAGATAAGTAATTATAATAGAAAAATATATCTTAGAATATCTAACTATAGTATATTAGTTTAATTTAAAGCTAAATATACTTCTTCTAAAGTTTAGTATTCTATAATATAATATTAGTAAAGTTATAAAGATTAGTATAAAGTATATCTTTTAGTAGAAAATATACTTCTAGTACTCTTTCTATTTATACTATATAATTAACTTATCTAAAAAGAAAATAAACTACTATTACTCTATAAGCTTATTTATATTCTTAATAGTAAATACTAGATATTCTTTAACTATCTCTAGAATTAGAAAGAGATAGTATATAGCTTTTAGATATATAATTCCCTTCTTTTAAAGATACTAAATAAGAGTATATTTATAGTTATTATAAATTATATTATATAATAATAAAGAAGATATTATAGCTATTATAATTTCTCTAGCTTAATAGTAAAACTCTACTATTAATTATTTATCTACTCTAAATAATAATAATAATATTATAAATAAAGATAGTAATAATAATAGTAGTAAGAGTAATAATAATATTAAAATTAAGCTTTTATAAGCTTAAATTCTCTAACTTTAGAAATATCTTATAACTATATAGTAGGAAATAGTTACTATTATTATTCTTATAGAATAATAAACTATTTAAAATACTAATCTTTAGATTTAAATTTAAACTATAGTTTAAAAAAGAGAATTAAAAGTATTATTTAAATTACTACTATTTAAGATATTTAATAAAACTTAAAATAAACTTTAAGAATTTATAATCTAATTTTAAATATATTTTAATTATTTCTTTATTACTTTTAATAATAATAAATAGTAAGTTATTTATATTTATTTATAACTTAAAAAAGTTATATTTAATTAGTTTAAATTTATTATAAAAAAATATCTTAATAATTAAGAAAATTAATAAACTATTAATATTATAATAAATTTTAATTATTTTATAGAGATTTTCTAATAAATCTTTAGAATTTAAAATAAAAAATATAAAATAGAATATAAAATTAATAAACTCTTTTAAATTAGATTTATTTCTATTTTTAATAATAAATATCTCTAGCTTTTAGTAAAAACTAAATAGAATTAAAAATATATTATATCTTATTATTTTAATAAACTTAAAAAAGAAATTTAGAAAAAATTCTATAAGAAAAATAAATTAATAAGTATTTATAAATATATAATTATAATTATAAGAATTAATAATTAATAGTATTACTAATAAACTTATAATAAAAGAATAATATATTATATTAATACTAATTTAATTATAATAGTAATAATAATTTATAATCTTTAGAATATATATAGATTCTATAGAGTTAGAAACTATAGAGAAATATAAATATTATAATTATAATAAGATTAGATATATTTTATTATAATATTCTAAATTTAAAAAATAGAAAAATTAGAAATCTATTAAAGAAAATAAAAAATAATTAGAAATAATTAAAAAAACTAAAATTAAAATCCTTAGAATAATTAGAAAAATTATTTTAAAAAAAATCCTATAATTATTATAATTTCTATTTTTTCTAAAGAATTTATTTTAATTTTTTAAAAAATATTAAAACTAAATAAATAATAGAATTAAAAAATATTATAAAAAAACTAATAATATATTAAAAATATTTTTAATTAATTTAAATAAAAATATAAAAATAAGAAAATTATTTTAAAGAAATATAAATCTTCTATTAAGTATAAGTATATATTCTATTATAATAATAAATATATTCTAAAAATAGAAGAAAAAAAAATCTATTTATTAAAAATAAAATTAAAATTAAAATTTTTAATTTTTTTTTTTAGTTTTACTATAAATAAAGGTATATCCTAAGATCAGGTAATATATAACTAGATTATATAATTTTTTTAAGAATATAATTAGCAGTTTATATACTAAATATTATAAATTATATATTTATTACTAATATAAGATATAAAATTAGAATTTAGATTAAAATATAGAATTAGTATTTTTTAAAAAGAATATTATAAAAGTTATTTAATAATTTAATAATAGATATAATAATCTAATTTATATAAAGATTAATAGAAAATATAATTATAAATAAGAATTCTAATTAATCTATTATAATATATAGTATATAATATACTAATAAAAGAAAATAATATATAATTTCTTTTTATTTTCTAATAGAAGAATATCTAGAAAATATAATATAATTTAAATATAATAATTTATCTATTAATACTATAGAATAGAATTATATATTATCTTTAAAAAAGATCTAAAAGAATATTCTATTAAATATATATATAAAGAAATATCTATAGAAATATATTAAAAATAAAAATATAAAATATATAAAGATAATAAGATTAGATTATAATATAACTACTAATAGATAGAAGAATAAATAATTTATAATTATAATAACTATATTAAATAATATTTATTATATAATATAACTAAATATATATAAATAAATATTAAATTAATATTAAATCTATATTATTTAATAAAAATTTTCTATAATAGTAAATATATACTATATTTATAGATATAAATTTAATTAATAATTTTAAATAACTAATTTTTCTTTTATTAATTTAATATAATATATAATAATATATTAAAACTATAAATTATATATTAAACTATAGTAAATTTATATAAGAAAGTAATTATTCTTAAAATATAATATTTATTTAAATTAATCTTAATTCTCTATAAATATTTATAATAATTATAGTAATTATAAGTAATAGATTATATAATAAAATAATAAACTAAATAAATATAACTATTAGATTCTAATATTATTAAAAAGAACTATATATAGATAAATAGATATAAGATTAAAATATATCTTTATATAGATTTTAAAAACTTTATTATAGTAAATATATATTATATTTATAAAGATAAATTAATATTAATTTCTAGATAACTACTTTTCCTATCTAATAATAAAATCTTATCTAATATTAAATCTAATTAACTTTAAATTTAAACTCTAATTAAAATTAATAGAATAAAATAGATAAAAAATTAATTAAATAGTAAGAGCTATCTTTTTATAGATTATCTTAATATAGTATATAATATACTAAAACTAAAAATAATATATTAGATTAGAATATATATATATAATAGAATAGTTATTAGTAAGATATAATTATAACTTTTAATCTAATTAATTCTTATTTCTAATAAATATATTATTAGTATCTAATAGCTAGCTATTATAATATAGAGATAGTCTAAATAGATATAGTTATTAGATCTATTATATTATAAATAGCTATATTATTATAAGAAACTCTTTAATTAATTAAAAGCTTAAAAACTTAATATATTTAAAATATAGTTTTCTTAGTTACTAATTAATAATTATTATTATTTTTTAAAAAACTAAATTATTTATATTAATTTAGCTTTCTTTAGTAGGAATTAATATATTAATTATATTTATTTTATTATTATAATTATTACTTATAGTAATTATTAATAATAAAATAATTATAATTAAAATAAAATATAATTAATTAATTAAAATAAGTATAGAAGGATAGTTATTATTAATAGATAATAAGTTTTCTCTCTTAGAGATTATAATTATAGCTAGATTTATATATCTAGCTATATAAATAGCTTCTATTATTAGAGTTTTTAAGATATTAAT